GCCACAAATATTGAAGTCGTAATATCACTAGAAAAACGTTTAAAGCACATAAAATCATATTAAAATATATACATTTACAAGTATGTACTGTATTTACAGTACCTGCATTCATATATTTAGATTACTTTTTTCTGTACTATATTAAAAACTAAAATTTATTTGTTTGTAAGCTTAAAATAGATCCTTATTAACCATATATTATTAAAAATGCATTAATAAATAAAATACAGAACTGGGAATAGTAATTTATGGTTTTTCCTAGTGACAAGTAGATTCGGAGACAAGTAAATTCGACTTAAGTCGTTCTCCTGGAACCAATTACCGACGTAAGGCGAGGTATACCTGTATTAGTTTCGTATTTTATCACCTTTATTGAATCTTTCACTATTTGACAACCTTTAAAATTACAATATTTAGCTACAGTGGAATTATACATATTATATTTGATTGTGTTTATATGTTCTTTTACCCATATTTTTAAATGTCTTTTTTTCCTCCTATACATACCATTGTTTCAGCACCAATTACAGTTAAGTGTATAAACTATATTACTTTTTTCTAAATTGTTTGTATTATTTTCTATTTTATTTAGAACAATATTTTTTTGTATTTTGTTATGTTGGTCTAGTACTATTACTATATTAACCTTTGTAGAGAGAGTAAGTCAGATATGGCACTATCACGATGTAGTGGAGAATAAACATGGGAAATTTTTTAAGAATTTTCCCACATGTTTTTCTCATTTCTGTTTCAGAAAAAAATTTTTTAAACAGTTTTGTCTAGTAAAGAAAAAAATCTTTCTTGTCACATAATTCCTTTTTATGTGATTTTTTTTTTGCGGTAATTTTTGGCTAAAATTTTTTTGCGGATATCGCTTTTTTAATTTTATAAAATACTAGCAGACCCCACCACGCGTTGTTGTGGCTCAAAATGTATCTATTATAAATTTATAAAACTTTCCCTGTGGGAGAGAAATTTTTCGAAAAATTTCTTCTTAGTGTACATTCTCTTGACGTACCCTATTAAAACACAATCAAAAATGCAAAAACCTGCATCTAAAATAGTATAAATAGAAGCAGAGTTTTTTACCGTAAGCCTTAATCCTAACCATCTCCCTTCAGTGGGGTTGAATTTCAACGTGTATATTATATAAAAACACGTGCGTATTTCGAATGCAGCGTTGTGTCAAAATTTCAAAGGAATCGGTAGGAACAAACGAACGTTACATTTTTATTTATATAGATAGATAGAAGATATCCGCTTTAGTTCATTTTCACAGAAAAGCAAACTTAGGGCGTCGTACTCGTAATGCCATCTGTTGGACATAAAAGCCTTAACCTAGATTATATATTTTAATTTATATGAATGCTTAACGGAATAATATACAGCCTATGTCCACCCTGAGGTTCCATTCTAAATATCGGTGAAAGAATTTTTGAAATTGGATGAGTAGTTTCGGAGATTACCTGCTGCAAACAAACTTACATACATACATACATACATACATACAAACATTACCTCTTTATAATATTAGTATAGATAATCATGCACTATAATTAACCATTTTCCATTAGGACTCATGCAATGACACAACCTTTTAAAAAGGGCATATCATCATATTAGATTGAGGTTCACTTGGGCCTAATTGTGATGCATTAACACTGCAAAGCCTCACACACAGCTATGATCAGAGAATTAAAACAAAGCAGCAGCTTTTCATCATTATGTTTATCCAAAATAAAAAATAACTGTGTTTGTGTGTAACACTCCTTATGCTACTGAATCTGATTCTTAAATCATCAAAAGCATTTTTAACATTTTAAACATGGAAACTACAGAATACTCACTGTAATAAATGTCCTGATTTGCATAAATTTTTCTCATATAGTATATTTTTTACAGTATAATAAAATTTTACTCTCTACACTTAGAAACATCATCAGACCAAAATGTCATTCATTATAGTAGAAACTTAAGTTAAATGTTTTAAGCACATTTTAACTTTGTTAATTGTAAGTTATTGCATAAGTGTCTAGTAATTTGAGCTCCATGTAGTTTCAGATGATTTCCTAGACACTTATGCAATCATTTACAATTAACAAAACAGAATTAAAATGTGCATAAAACATTTTACTTAAGTTTCCACTATAATGAATAATATTTTGACCTGATGATGTTTCTGAATATACAAAGTAAAATTCTATTATACTGTAATAAATACACTGCTTGAGAAAAATATGTGCAAATCAGGGAATTCATCATTGAGTAGCATTCTGTAGTTCTGGCTAACATGCAAACTCTGCATGAAACAAGACTATACTTAAAATTATCTCCAAGTATTGCAATTAGTACTGGTTCATGTTCTGGCTAACTGCATTTATGTATTTTTAAGATATCTTGGATAGCCTACATTTGCTATTTAAAAATTTGGCTGATTGATTTTATTATATTTGTTTATTATTTTAATATATTTGTTAGAAGATAAAATGTTAATTTTATTCCTTTTCAACATAATTGTATACTTTAACAGTTTCGGACATTCTCAGAACGTCTAGCAGATATCAATGTTGATGTTATCCATCGAATTAGAACATTTGAACAGACTCCTGAAGAAGCAGATACTTTCTTTTTTGAGACTTTGCAGAAATGGACAGAATTAAATTGCACTGAAGATTTTGGTAAGAAAAACAATAAAAAGAACAATTATTTATTTATTTATTATCAGTTTTAAATAAATAATTTACAATTTTTGAATTTAGATAAATTGTGCAAAGATTTGGGTATGAATATACAATCATTGCCACAAATTGTACATAAAAAGGTAAGTAGTGTACATTATAATTTCTGTAAAATTAGAAATTAAATTTTAAACTGCATTATGTCAGAATCATAAACATATTATGTAATATGAGTACACTGCTTAGTTAAGGTAACTGAAAATATTTATTTGCCAGAAATGCTATCAGTTTTTTTGAAGCCATCTTCAGTTATTGAAATTAGAATAACTTAGTTACACATTCTTAAACAGAACAGTTAATTAGTCAAAAACAGACAGAATACATCTCTTAAGTTACAGTAAAACTGTTTTACGGCCTCCCTGAAACTCCCTAAAAAACTACATAAGTTTAAATATAAATCAAATTCCCTGTTGGTTATATAAATCAAATTCCAAAATGGCTGCTCATATGAGCAGCCATTTTGCTTAAAGCCTTGGTCACACCTTCCAATTTCTAGTCATGCAGATAACTGCAACCACAATGGCTGTTCCTGATAACTAATAAACTCTTCTAAAACTGGTGCAACTGCAACTAGAAACTAAAAAATTTGTTTACTCTCACATCCACTCAGCAAATGCCTTTGTGCCATGCCATATGGTGGCAACTTTGAAAATAGTTATCATCATGGCAGAAAGTGAGAATACAAGTAAAGTTTTAGAATCAAGATTGATTAAGCTTATTCAGGCTCATGAATGCCTGTGGTGTTTTAATTCTTCGTTTTATCAAAGAAAGAAAAGAAGACATAGGCATGATGTGAAATAAGCAAAAGTCTCAGCATTGATTGTAAGTACCATTTTTAGATTTCTGTATATAAAATGTTGATTTTTTTAGTTTTGTAACAACATTATTATTTTAAACATAGCTAAAGAACTAAGTAAAATGTACCATCATTTATGAATGACATTCCTTTGCATTAAAAAAAATGAAGATAATAGCAGACAAAGTAGATGTTGGTTTATTATAAGGTCATATATTTCCGAGTTGCAATGCCAATGAACAATGGGACTATGACAAGATGTGTGCAAATCGCACTCATTGCAGTTGCAGTTGTTTGTGTGTCTGGAATTGCTTAAGTGGCAAAACTGGAATGTCCTAAAATGACATTCTTCTTTATGTGGCCAACAGAACAAGAAAATCTTTCTTTCCCAATCTCAATATATTGTTTAAAGCACTTTAAGGCAAAATTGTACTTTATTTCTGTAGATTTGGAATAGTTTACTGAGATTCATCTGACAGATGACATTGACATGACAAATAAAGAAAATCTTCATTTGCACTCAACAAATTAAATTTATATCCAGAATTTAGTGAGAAAAAAGACAATTATATAATTTATGTAAATCAGTGATGATTGGTTCTAGGCCACTGATACATCACTAGAAACACTCAACAAAGTGATATATCAATGAGTCTGATGTAAAAGCCAGTTTAAATTATTAACACTTTCTACCCAACACTTGGACATTTCTGCATAATTAACTTGTTTAGTGACTTCTGTTTTATAATCTTTATTCTTGAAGCAGTACTTCAAGGGACATCTGAAGTGAGTGCAACTGCAAACAGCTTGCACTCACTTCAGATGTTCCTGTGTTTCAATATTCTATTATTCACTGTTAATACAGGATGATCATAATTAAAGAGTAGGTGTTCAAAGCTTTCTAGAAAGACCAATTGAGCAAATCTCAACCAAATTTGGTGAAAATTTGGTGGTTTTCAGTTTTCAAGAAAAAGTTTTGCTTTAAATTCAGCTGCAAAATTTGATGCTGCTGTCTCCTTAAAATTAATATTACATTTATTTTATAAGAAATTTTGGGTGTAAGAGGAGTTACAAAGTGTATTTCATAATTCTTTGGCATGTGAAGTTATGGTGCATGCTTTGCCTGATTGCATATTAATTGTCAATTTAATGTGTTTTAAATATTATTTCAAAAACTAAGAAACGTATCCAATGTAATTTTGTTAATGTTATAACTTTTATTTTGGTAGGATGTAATTATTGCTGTTTTAAATAATCATCTTCAAGATTGTTCAAATTTGGCATTAGATGCTACTTTAGAGTAAGTATTCAGAAATTTTTTGATTTACTTTATCTTAATTACTGTATATAAAGTACACTATATACTGTTAAAAATATGTATCTGAAACTGATTTCTCTTCTTTAGATTTCTGTATTTTATCTGTTTTTATTTTCATGTTTTTAATGATGTGGACTTTTACTATTAAAAAATTTTGAATTATTTCTACTGCATGTAATTAATTAATTGTATTGTTAGGAGTAAAATAGGCTTTTCTTTGAAAAATATGTACAAAATTTTTATAGTCAAACCTCGGGTTACAAACATTCCTGTTTATGAAGAATTTGGTTTATGAACAAAATTTTGAATGCTATATTTGCTCCAGTTGCCATACAATTTTATATTATAATTTTATTTTATATAATATTTTATTTATATAATATTGTAATTTTATATAATAATTTTGCATATGGTAGCTGTTAAATTTAAATTTTTTGTTTTTTCCTGTTATCTATATGATAATTTTGTTTGTGGCATTGATGCACCATTGCATTTGTGTGATGAATTTGTACACACATGTTTGGATTAATGGTGTCATTAAATTTCATCTCTTTCTCTCAATTTTTCTTTAGAAAATTTATCTTTCTTTTTATTTATGTATTTTTTACAAGTCTCTTTCATTGTATTTTATAGAAAAATTTGCAAAAGTCCACACATTTCTTTTGAGTAATCATAAAAGTTTATTTTAGCTAACAAATCATTGACATCATTGCCTACAAACTAATTTGCTCCCATAAACTCCATAACACATTTAACTTTACATTCACTTATGTAGGGATTCCATTAGCTTTTTCAAATCTGTAGTTTTTTGCTAATGATGTCTTGAAAACTAGCAAAATTCAAGATTTCATAGCAAAACAAGTAATGTAAAAAAAAATGCTTTCAACGTAATAAAAATTGTTGATTTTATTTTGATATCGATCAGTACAAAATTAGAAATGCTAATCTCATAATCAAACTAAGATCACAATTAAGTGTCTCTGTTTTTTCTGTCACCATACAGTAAAGGCAGCTTGGAAAAGAAATTCTCTTCAAGGTAGACTATTGATTATATCAATCAATAAGTGATTTATTATGAAATATAGTACTGTATAATGAAATTGCAACTGATATTTGTTTTTATATTAAAGGTATTTGTCTTTAAATGTCATTATTAAAAAAAACAGTAATGCTAAATGGATCTTTGTGGTATTGATATTTACTTAAATGCCATTTAATTCAATATAATCATGAATAAAATTCTTTATTGCAAAACTAAGCTTATTTTATATCATAAACAGTTGCTGATGAAAGAATAGAGGATAGAGATTCCATAGCATGTATCATCTGTTTAGTATATGCCCAGAATTTTTAGCACTTGGTTATATTGTGCTGCCAGATATATCATATTTTTTCCTTTGTCTTCTAACAAGCACGATATAACGAGGGGCTACTGTATTAAAGCATTTTGAAGTAATTCTGAAATGTGCAAAAACACAATTTCATACAGGAAACTATTGCATTTGTGTAAATGTGAAATTTTTCATCATTTTTTCACAAATTTGCAGACAAAAGTTGTTGCTAAATTACACTGTTTGTCACAAAAGAGCAAAAAACTACTGGTAGCGAGATCTCTACTTATTTCTGTTTTGGAAACAACTGGTGTTTTGTACTTTGAATTTAACTAGTTCCAAGAGGACATTTGAACTCTGAATTATTCAAAGTCTTATTTGGACTTTGAACAATTTTTCCTGTTAGAAATGATAAAAATGAATGAATCCATTCCAGGACCTTAAATAATATCCATTTCATTTAATTGTGTTATTTTTACTTTAAATTATTTGTATTTGCTGTTTACTGCCTTAAATAAAAAATTAAATCATCAAAACAATAATTAAAAGTTTGTAAAAACTATAATAAAATAAAAATTTTATTTGCTGTACTTTAGAGAGGAGTGGTGATGTCCTATTTCTGAAGGTCACTATGCAGCTTGTTTGGATTTCTCTCAAATAATTTTCTCAGAGATGATATGACCAGCCAATTGATTCTGATTTATTCACACTAGGATGAATTTTTCCATCTCTTCAATAACATGTGTTTTCCTGGAGGTGATCGTTGTTATACCTTTAGCCACATTTGCTGTTTTTATTGCTTCCTTCTTCTTAAGAATGGTCCACATTGTTGACTTTGTCATCTTAAACATGGCTGTCAGATCTGCCATATGTGTATTGTATTCATGTTTTGCAATAAGTCTTTTTTTCATCTCAATCATCGATACAACAACTTTCCTTTTAGGCTTCGTTCCTTCCACATTCTTCTTGGATGCCATGGTTAATAGGTATGAGTTACATATTTAACCAAACATACCAAAAATAAAGAGAAATTATTGCTGCAATGCCAGGCTGCAATTTTTATTCATATTTTAATTTAAAAAATTATATGACTTCTGGTTCAGACTGGAAGTGCATATATAGTTAATTAGAGCCTCTATTCACTAAGCTTTCCGTGTCTGGTCTCAATTTTTATCTGTCTAACTCCATTCTTGAGATTAAGGAAGGAAGGATGGACAGAAAAACAGTGGGAATCTACAGATATGCAATTTGAAAGTTGCAGCCCAAAATGTGCTGAACATATGAGTGTAATACAAGAGATACTTTCACAGTTAGAGAGAGAGAGAGAGACAACTTGGGCACACAACAGATGGTGTTTATGCAGCAAGTGCATTTTTCACTGCATAAATAGTTTGAACATAGAATCATCATTCAAATTCCTTTCAAATTTAGCATTTAGACTCTGGATAACACAAAGTTAAAGTTATTCAAAGTATGAAATACCATTGTTGTAAATTAATAAAACAGTTTAATTATTGAGAACATGATTGAAATAATGATATGAACTAGCTAGCTGGTATTGTTACCATTTAATTACCCAAATACCATTAATTTACTGTATTGCTTACATTGTAAATGTAATGATGTGTAAATATTCCAAAAGTATTTAAATAATCTTATTATTAAAAATCCTGTTATTTTCCATTTAATCCCTATGTTTCTTTGAAATATAATTATTGTCTCTTAAAATATATCACTTTAAACTCTGTTATAGATTGCTTAACTAAGAATTACTTTATCATCATTTGAGAGAGAGAGAATTACTTTTGCAACTATTTCTGTAAAATACAATAAAATTGATCATTGTAAAAAACATTTTAAAAATTCAAGATGAAAATATATATTTAAAAAATACACACCATTGAAGACATGATCATGATTTCAGAAAGAAAAACTTTCATAATCTTCTTAAATGTCTTTTCACAATCACTAGAATGCAATCAACATTGGTGGAATTGACCTTCTATAGGCTCTTCCCTGCCTATATTTATGTAAATTGTTTAAAAATTTTGTGACATTGGATAGCTTCAAAAATTTTCATTGCAAAGATAAAACTTCTAAAAATCCAGGACAAAATATATATTTTAAGACAAGATTAAAAATCTCGATGACTATATTCTTTGACGCTACAATGGAAACAATTATTGAATGTACAGTCTGTTTAAAAAAGTATAGGAACATCATATATTTTGTGTTTTTTTCAAAATTTATTTTAAAGTTATTACTAGAAATAATATTAACTAGCAGATGAGCCTGGCATTGCTCCGGCAAAAAATAACAACAGCAAATATTAAGATTATTAGATTATTTCATACTTCTAACATTTCTACTATATTATATTATAATATTTGATTTATATTTATTAAGGTTCTTATGTAAGATTTTATCACACCATGTTCCCAATCTAACACATTTAAAAATTATTTAAATTGTGTACATTATAGGAATAAAGAATTGTAAAAATGTGTTAGATTGGTCATTTGGTGTGATAAACTCTTACATAAGATAACCTTTATAGTTATACGAGTTTGGACCGTGCACTGCGTATCTCGCTGACCACATGACTATGCCGCATGGTTATCTATCTTGTATACGTACACGTCTTGCCCCTTGTCATCCACTGACACCAAAAATATAATGCTTACCTAGATGATATCTTTTAATTTATATGAATGTTTAATGGAATAATATACAGCCTATGTCCACCCTGAAGATCCATTCTAAATATTGGTGAAAGAATTTTTGAAATCAGATGAGTAGTTTCGGAGATTATCTCCTACATTCAAACTTACAAACTTTACCTCTTTATAATATTAATATAGATTATTTTTTTATCATTATTTTAATTATTTTATCAGGTTTTTTACATTTCATAAAGCAGCATAAATGTTTTCCACAAATATTCATTTTTTGATGTGTTACAAAAGTATAAGTACACCAGTTAAAAATCTCTTAAAAATTAATTTATCATAATAATAATTAAAATTATCATTACTAGGGTGAGATGTCATCATTTTTAACTGTCATGGTGACTTTTTTGAATGTTTATTGAATGTTATATAAACATTTTCAAGAATGCCTTGTGGAACTGTACTTCAGGAGCAAGAAATACATAAAATTTATTATTTGAATGGTTCAGGCAAGTCTCTGGGGCAAATTGCTGCAGCTGTAAATAGATCTACAAATGCTATTTGAAATGTTTTGCAACAAGGTAAAAATTATGGGTAAAAAAAGGAAGTCAGGATAGCCTAAATATTTAACATCCAGAAATTAGAGACAAGTTTTGAAAGCTTATAAAAAAACATGTCAACAAGGCAATCTGCTGCTGAATTACCAGTAGATGTATCTCATGCGACTGTTTGGAGAACTTTTAAATATTTTACATTGCCATTATTTTTTAAAGTGAAGTTGAAATCACCTTTAACTGCAAAACACAAATCAACATATATAGTCACCAATTAACAAATCTGTTTGATATTTCTATTGATGGTTTCACTATTTCATAATTTTTCTAGGATAAATCAGTTTATTATTTAATATTTTTCCTGGTTTTCTTCCAAGAAACAAATGTTCTCTCTTCGAATTTTTTTCAGGACATTTAAACATTTGTTCTTTTAAAATACTGGTATGAATGGCCTATACTAGCATTGTAGAAAAGTGCAAGATTTATAACAACAATATTACCAACATGTGTTCAAACTTCACAGATGAAATCTTTTTTCTCCTTCCTGGAAATATCTCCTTTGTCTTTCACATCAATTGCTACCGTCATAATCCACCTCCCCTTGCTTATTTACTGTATTCTGTCTTCTTTCCTAATGGACGTTGGTATTTCACTTTCATCTGTACACTCCTGAAGATGTCTAGGTTAAAAATATTTTCATTATTTCAATTTTACACACTATTAAATGTATATTGTTTAATTTAATAAATTAACTACAGTGGCTAGTTTGCCCTTGATACTAATAACAAATTAATAATATTTGAATATTAACAGTTTAATGCATTAATATTAAAGCCAAATGATTGCTAGATTACATTGGATTGTTTTAATACTACTATTAATAGAAGTAGTAAAATAGCCTAATACAATCAGGCATTCATTTGGCTTTAATATATAACTATTGGGTTTTAGTTATAAATATTTTTATGCAGTAATGATTATATTTTTGAAAACAAAGAAAATCATTATTGAAAAATGTTACCATTAGTTTAAAAATTCTTATTAAAAAATGTGAGATTGAACTATTGCTTTTTATTGATTATTTATTAATTACCTATTAATTTAAGATATTTTTAATACTTTTTACAGACTTGTTGTAGCATTGGCCAGGGATTTACAAATGGACTTTTATCCATTTTTTCCAAAGATTTTTTCATCAGTTGTTAAACTTTTGGACACAAAAAGTACTGAAATGATTGAAAATGTGTTTGTCTGTTTGTCTTACCTTTTCAAATTTCTTTGGAGATATATGGTGAAAGATATTGAAAATGTTTTTATGTAAGTAATATAATTATAAGTATAATAAATATGGTTTTTTAGAAATTAAAATTTATAGATGTTATTTATTTGAAACATTGATATTTTTTCAGAACTTACCTGCCTTTGTTAAAAGATGACCAAAAAGAATATATCCGTAATTTTGCAGCAGAAAGTTTTGCATTTCTTGTGCGGAAAGTAAATAATATGTCTTATCTTTATTTTTTGTAATATATTGAGTTGTTCGGAAAGTAAGTTCGTTTTTTTCTGTGAAAAAAAACACAATATTTTTATAATAAATAAATATTTTATTGAATTATATATTGACCATTTTGGTCAAATACCTGTTGTCCTCGTTCCTGCTAGTAGCATGATTTCACATTCATAAAAGTTTTGACTGTTGCTTACAAAAAACTGATCCAAGTGATTTTTGACATTGTCATTTCAAGTAAATGTCTTACAGTTAAAAAAAATTGTATAGACCAGAACAAGTAATAATCTGAGTGTGCTCGATCTGGCGAATATGGTTGGTGTGATAGCACGTCCCATCTAAGTTATAACAGTTTCTGACGAGTTACCAAACTTGTGTGAAATTTGACATTATTGTGGTAAAACACTACATCTGTTTCGTTGATCAATTCTGGTCGCCTTTTCTGTTTTATGATATTACTCAATTTGTTTACTCGATGGCAGTACACTTTCGAATCAATTGTTAAATTGTCTGGGAAAAGCTCCAAAAAAAAATTTCATTAAAATTCCACCAGAGAGAGCATCTCTCTTTAACATGTGGAACCCATATATCAAGCATTGAAATGAAACCAATTTGTTTCAAGTAATCATAAACAGTTTAATTTGACAGATTTAATCTCTTAGTGATTTCACATGTTGTTATTCGGCAGTTTGCTTCAATCAGTGCCTTTATTTTGTTTTTGTTGACTTCAACTGGCCATCCAGAACGTGGTGCATCTTCAATATTGAAATTGCCAGAACAAAATTTTGTAAACCAGTTTTGGCACTGTCGTTCTGTCAACACATCATCTCCATACACGTCACACAATTTTTTTTTCACTTGAACAGCATTCTTACCTTTTCGTTACTAAAAGAGCAAAATATGCTGAAAATGCTGCTTTTGATCTTGAATATTTGATGGGACACAAAAAATAAACAATTGCACAAAATCAAACAAAATTTTTTAGAAATAAGCCTTAAAATGCTAGCTGTCAAAATATATATGGATAATATGGTTTAAATACGATTAATCTGTCTAGTGGTAAAAAAAAAACCGAACTTACTTTCCGAACAACCTAATATATTAAATTTTATTAATGATTTTTAAAAGTAATCTTAATTGTGCTGTTGTATGATCATAATTCTAAAATATACATTAAAATTTAAATTAGATGCAAAGAGTATTATTTGAAAAACAATTTCTTTAAGTAAGAAATAATTGTGTATTTCATAAATACATAATTATTTTGAATTAAAAATTCTATTAACAAATTATTTTTAACCTGAATTGAATGAAATTATATTCAAATTACAATTTTTTGCAACTGAGACAGAAACTATGAATGTATTTCTGTTTTCAGCATAGTTTTATTTTGATTCAGATGACGAAAATTTTATTAATGTTACCAAGATTTTTCAAAATATGCAGAAAGTATATATCTGGCATTTTTACATACATATGTATGTGCATATACTGTGATTTTAAATGCATATAAATTCAGCCCTTAATAGTCATTGTTAGGAGCTACATGTTGAAAATAGAAGAGTTATTTTATAATAGAAAAATTTAAAATCGTTGCTATGGTTACAATAAAATATTATTCATAATGATAGAAATAATAGATAAAAGTAACGTGACATTGATGTAACCTATGTTTTAAATTACAAACTTTTTGCTTTAATAATGATAATAATGATAATGGAGTAGGAATTAATTTTTAATTTATTAAAAATTAATTTAATTATATAATTAATCATAATATCTTAATTATATAATTAATTAATTAATGGTTAATTAATTAATATTAATACTCCAAAAACTAAATATAGTAAAAACTACTTTTATGTAATTGCCACTCCATTAAAGTAGTTGATTGAACACTGAAACACAAAATTAATATTTCATTTGCTTTTGTGGAGTGTGCTATCAGATCAGCTTGACCAACCTTGTTACAGTTATTACAGTAAATATGAAAAAATATGAATTAAAGCATCACCAAAACTATGAGTACATGAAGATATGAATTTCTATGATTTTCTATATTCTATTTTCTATGATAGAAATACCACAGTGATGATAATTTTACTTTTGTCGAAAAGACTTATTTATTATCTAAACTTTGATTAAATTTGTGATTTAAATTATATCCTAATGATATTAAATATATTTTTAATTGTCTAAATAAAGTCATAAATAGTGAGTGTCTATATGTGTGAATGGTATTTGCAAGTATAAAAGTAGAAATTAATAAATAATTAAATATTAAACAGAACATGTTCAGCAAATAATTACCTTGTCACAACACACCTTTCTTGTTGCCGTGATAGTTTTATTGAAAACTAACATTTTCAGCCTAGTCTATAGGCCTCTGTATGAGGATGGCCTATAGAGTAGGCCGAAATGTTAAAACATTAGTTTTCAATAAAACTATCTCAGCAACAAGAAAGGTGTGTTGTGATAAGCTAAAATAATGAAATATTACAAGTATTTTCAATAAATCAACATTCTTCAGATAAAAAAATGAAATAGAAGAATTGACTGAAACTTCTAAACAAATTACAGTTTTTGAAGGATATTTAGGATATTTATTATTAAGTATTTAGGACAATTTTTTTTAAATTTGAATTTACAAATCCCTTATAATCTTATTACAAAATTAAAGCCTGTTTATATATATGGTGCAAAATATTATAAAAATCATTATTTTTAGATTAGATTGGAAGATTGGAAAATAATCATATATATTACGTAATTTTATAGTTGTAACAAGAATAATGTTTAGAGATTACTAAAATTTACATATGAAGTGTGAAGTGTATAAGAATATACACTGTGATTGTAAGGTCCCTTCACAATGGGCAGAGAAATGAGAGTAGATTCCAGGAATGAAGTAATGACATCACAAGCAGATCATACATTGAAAGAGACCACCTCCACTTGGCTGAGCTACATAGGTGTGGTCACTGCAGAGGGACTTTATGATCACACTATATACTTTAGAATCAATTAAATCCAATAGTTGGGAAGAGAAAACTGGTTGCTTACATGTATCATTATTTGAAATGTATATCATTTCTCACATTTGTGTGCAGGGTTATAACAAACATGTTCATTCAAAGAATCTTTAAGCCACTTAATAAAATTGATTTGGATAATTTTGTGGCTTGTATGATATCATTTTAATATTCTGCAAGATGAGTACATAGCATTCTAATGGTGGCATTAATATAATATTCATATACATTCATTCTTACATTTTAGAGAGATTTTGAACAGTTTTCAATGTTAAAAAGGATTTCTGTTGGTTGAGGATGGATAGCTGGTATGCAAAAATGATAGACATTTATTGTTTGTTGAGAGTAGTATCTTTGTAGTGAGTGATATCTTGAATAAAGATTAATTAATGTTTGTTTATACTGAGCTTTTATTATTATATTAGTCTGTATATTAAGTAAATTAAAAAAAGGTTAATCAAACACAAGTTTTAGTTGAAAATATTTGTAGAGACCTGCTGCATTTATGGTAACTGGCACTTAATGATTATTAGGAGTGTTTTTAGGAGGAATGTTATTCTGTAACAAAGATTTTATACCTGCCACATAAGTTGACCTCTAGTTTTAGAGAAATTTTTTAACCTAGAATGTTGATTTACATAGCAGCATATACGGTACATTAAAAATTTGAAACTTTATTATTTGTATCTTAGTATAACCTTTATCATAAATTTTCAGGTGAATGACAAAGAAAAGTTTTTTATTTTTATGTTTCATCAATTGGAAGAAAATTCAAAGGTAATATTATGATAAAATTTTAAATTTATTGTTTAAAATATGTATATAGAAAAATATTAACAATACAACATATTTATTGCAAACATGCATGTTTGCAATAAATATGTTGTATTGTTAATATTGTTAACATGAATGCTGCTTTCTGTAAGTTTTGGTGTATATAACATCAAAATTATTTGTAAAAATTAATTTTCATTATCTACTTTGTTTAAACTATGATTTTAAGATTTTAAATATTAATTCATGTTTTCTAGCATATTCATTGTAAACATGCATGTTTGCAATGAATATGCAATAAAGTTTCTTTCTTCTTTTGTTCCAAGCTTGCTCTATTGTTTCACTGAATCATACTTCTGGTTTTGGGGATTATCTACAGCTTTACATATAAATTGAATCTTATCTTGTTCTTCTGACATTAAATCACAGTTATTTCCAAATTCTTTCAAAAATTCTACAGGCATGGTTACATGATATATTGGGTTTGGTATCTTATTAGGCTGCAATTTGAAAAAATTGTAGATCTATAAATTCCTGCCTTAATCTGCCAGTTGTCTGTCCATCTGGCCTTCCATAATCTCGAGAATGGAGTTAGATACATGAAAGCCAAGATGAGATATGGAAAGCTTAGGGGCATGAGGTCCCTATTAACTATATTTGAATTTACAATGCAAACTTGAAGTTATGTTACTTCAATTAAAAAATTTTTCCTTGAAAGGAGTTAGGTAGATGACTGGCATAACTCTATTGCTAACAGGAAAAGTATGATATACAGGGGCAAGACACTACTACCATAATTTGAGGTAGAGAAAATATATTTTAAATTAAATAAATTTAAAAAATTGTAGCCTGGCATAGTGATGATGTCACAATAAGTATTTGCTTGTTAAGAAACAAATACAATATTACTACACTGGATTAAATCAAAATAATGTACCAGTGAGCCTGTTACCGGTGTGTGTTTCTTACTAAATCAGCCATTACAAACATTTTCGAACCCACAAGTTTTTCAGGTAACATACAACTTCTGACCAAATGTAATTCAAATTAAATTGAATTGGAACACCAGCTGGAACTCAATTCTGTGGATGTCAATAACATCACTTGGGCATGTGCCATATACGGCCCAGCATGCGTTCTTAAACAAGAACTTACGTTAAACTGCTACAGATAATACAGCACATGCCCGAGTGACATTATCAACATCGACGCGATTGAGTTCCAGCTGGTGTTTCAATTCAATTTAATCTGAATCACATTTGGTCAGAAGTTGCATGTTGAAGTTCTTCTTCAGGTAACATGCAACTTCTGACTGAAACATTTGTAACAGTTGATTTAGTAAGAGATACACACCGGTAACAGGCTCACTGGTACGTTATTTTGTTAAGAAACAGTTTACAAAGTAGAACATTCCAATTGCTCTCAACTCCAGCAACCAAATATATTCACATGAGTTAATTCAGTTAATCGAACTCAACAGTATTTCTCTAGACAGACTTCTTTTATGATTTGGGTATAGGATGATTTTATTTAGTATGTCAAATGGCATAAATAAATCCTAAGATTATGTAACAGTGTTAGCTGCTAATGTTAGCCTTCATCCTGATCATTCAAGCAAGATATTATTAGAAATAATTTTGGACATTGAGAAAAATAAAACTAAGTATCTCAAGGTAAATAATGAATATTACTACACTTTGTTTTGACAGTAACATAAAATGAGGTAAAAAGAATAAAATTACCACATTTTCCCTAAAATATATAGTTTTGTTGTTTTGTTACAGATTTTCTGAGAAAAAAGTCATCTTGTGTCAAGGTTATAGTCAAGTTAGAGTAAATGAAGATGATTGAACTTACTGGCATTGAATAAAAAATTCAAATATTTTAATCTTGACACAAGTGTTTCTTTACCTTCCAGAATTAAATGTATATGTTATAAATTATTAAATACAGGGTATAGCCGCAGCTTGTTTGTATCGTCAACCTAAGAGCGTAGAAGAATCGCAGAAGACTGTCTTAAATAAAGAAAACAAATGGAAGTAATTCTTACACACGAAACTGATCTTTAAACCACTTTATACAATCATCCTGATTCTTTCACAGTACTAAATGATTAATCTACCTACTTATGTTTTTACAAAAATGTTATTTTAAATTAATAATAAAGATATTATAGATATTTAAAATTTTTTTCATACTTATGATAGGTAGATTTTTTGAAAATTGTGTCTTTTGTGAATTTTTTGTAGCAGTTTATATTGTATTTTGAGTTTTGTTTTATTTTTAGAAGTTAAATGCAAAATTCTGAATTTTGTTTCAATTAACAGGTGGAACCATAATGTTAGATATAAATAGAGTATTTTCTCACAATAAATAAGTTATCTATTAATTAATTGGTTAATATTATTTTACAGATGGTTAATGGCTTTGCACAGTTGTTATTTCATGTGATGAAAGGTGTTAGAAAAGAATTTCATAGTTGTATGAAGCCTGTGAGTTTTGAATTTTAAATTTTGTATATAAATAGTAGATAATTTAAATTAGTATCAAACATTGTTACTATAATGGTGTTATTAGATTATTAAACATTAAACATTAGATTATTAATATTCCATGCTACACACTAGTATGGCATGGAATGTTAATGTCAATTTTGAAAATTGTTTAAACTATAGGATATGTCAGAATTATGTTAACATTAAATGGAAAAAATATTTATATTTTTTATTAATACAGTGAAACTCCATTTATCTGGATTTTCCTCCAATTTTGTTAAAAACAAATAGGCATGTATATGTACAAGAAGTAATTTTTTGAAAATGTAGAAAATAAACTACAGATATCTCTGTTAACATGGTTTTGCTTAACGTGGGATTTGATTAATGTGCAAAATTAATTTGCAGCAATCCTTTTATATACAGTGGTACCTCGGTATACATCTGCTTTAGAATACATTTAATTTGGAATACATCCTGTTTGGACGAAACAAATTTTGCTCGGTATACAACTTAATTCAATTATACACATCATCTATGAACAAGTATCACTATCGGTGTACTAGNTTGCTTCAATCAGTGCCTTTATTTTGTTTTTGTTGACTTCAACTGGCCATCCAGAACGTGGTGCATCTTCAATATTGAAATTGCCAGAACAAAATTTTGTAAACCAGTTTTGGCACTGTCGTTCTGTCAACACATCATCTCCATACACGTCACACAATTTTTTTTTCACTTGAACAGCATTCTTACCTTTTCGTTACTAAAAGAGCAAAATATGCTGAAAATGCTGCTTTTGATCTTGAATATTTGATGGGACACAAAAAATAAACAATTGCACAAAATCAAACAAAATTTTTTAGAAATAAGCCTTAAAATGCTAGCTGTCAAAATATATATGGATAATATGGTTTAAATACGATTAATCTGTCTAGTGGTAAAAAAAAAACCGAACTTACTTTCCGAACAACCTAATATATTAAATTTTATTAATGATTTTTAAAAGTAATCTTAATTGTGCTGTTGTATGATCATAATTCTAAAATATACATTAAAATTTAAATTAGATGCAAAGAGTATTATTTGAAAAACAATTTCTTTAAGTAAGAAATAATTGTGTATTTCATAAATACATAATTATTTTGAATTAAAAATTCTATTAACAAATTATTTTTAACCTGAATTGAATGAAATTATATTCAAATTACAATTTTTTGCAACTGAGACAGAAACTATGAATGTATTTCTGTTTTCAGCATAGTTTTATTTTGATTCAGATGACGAAAATTTTATTAATGTTACCAAGATTTTTCAAAATATGCAGAAAGTATATATCTGGCATTTTTACATACATATGTATGTGCATATACTGTGATTTTAAATGCATATAAATTCAGCCCTTAATAGTCATTGTTAGGAGCTACATGTTGAAAATAGAAGAGTTATTTTATAATAGAAAAATTTAAAATCGTTGCTATGGTTACAATAAAATATTATTCATAATGATAGAAATAATAGATAAAAGTAACGTGACATTGATGTAACCTATGTTTTAAATTACAAACTTTTTGCTTTAATAATGATAATAATGATAATGGAGTAGGAATTAATTTTTAATTTATTAAAAATTAATTTATCATAATAATAATTAAAATTATCATTACTAGGGTGAGATGTCATCATTTTTAACTGTCATGGTGACTTTTTTGAATGTTTATTGAATGTTATATAAACATTTTCAAGAATGCCTTGTGGAACTGTACTTCAGGAGCAAGAAATACATAAAATTTATTATTTGAATGGTTCAGGCAAGTCTCTGGGGCAAATTGCTGCAGCTGTAAATAGATCTACAAATGCTATTTGAAATGTTTTGCAACAAGGTAAAAATTATGGGTAAAAAAAGGAAGTCAGGATAGCCTAAATGTTTAACATCCAGAAATTAGAGACAAGTTTTGAAAGCTTATAAAAAAACATGTCAACAAGGCAATCTGCTGCTGAATTACCAGTAGATGTATCTCATGCGACTGTTTGGAGAACTTTTAAATATTTTACATTGCCATTATTTTTTAAAGTGAAGTTGAAATCACCTTTAACTGCAAAACACAAATCAACATATATAGTCACCAATTAACAAATCTGTTTGATATTTCTATTGATGGTTTCACTATTTCATAATTTTTCTAGGATAAATCAGTTTATTATTTAATATTTTTCCTGGTTTTCTTCCAAGAAACAAATGTTCTCTCTTCAAATTTTTTTCAGGACATTTAAACATTTGTTCTTTTAAAATACTGGTATGAATGGCCTATACTAGCATTGTAGAAAAGTGCAAGATTTATAACAACAATATTACCAACATGTGTTCAAACTTCACAGATGAAATCTTTTTTCTCCTTCCTGGAAATATCTCCTTTGTCTTTCACATCAATTGCTACCGTCATAATCCACCTCCCCTTGCTTATTTACTGTATTCTGTCTTCTTTCCTAATGGACGTTGGTATTTCACTTTCATCTGTACACTCCTGAAGATGTCTAGGTTAAAAATATTTTCATTATTTCAATTTTACACACTATTAAATGTATATTGTTTAATTTAATAAATTAACTACAGTGGCTAGTTTGCCCTTGATACTAATAACAAATTAATAATATTTGAATATTAACAGTTTAATGCATTAATATTAAAGCCAAATGATTGCTAGATTACATTGGATTGTTTTAATACTACTATTAATAGAAGTAGTAAAATAGCCTAATACAATCAGGCATTCATTTGGCTTTAATATATAACTATTGGGTTTTAGTTATAAATATTTTTATGCAGTAATGATTATATTTTTGAAAACAAAGAAAATCATTATTGAAAAATGTTACCATTAGTTTAAAAATTCTTATTAAAAAATGTGAGATTGAACTATTGCTTTTTATTGATTATTTATTAATTACCTATTAATTTAAGATATTTTTAATACTTTTTACAGACTTGTTGTAGCATTGGCCAGGGATTTACAAATGGACTTTTATCCATTTTTTCCAAAGATTTTTTCATCAGTTGTTAAACTTTTGGACACAAAAAGTACTGAAATGATTGAAAATGTGTTTGTCTGTTTGTCTTACCTTTTCAAATTTCTTTGGAGATATATGGTGAAAGATATTGAAAATGTTTTTATGTAAGTAATATAATTATAAGTATAATAAATATGGTTTTTTAGAAATTAAAATTTATAGATGTTATTTATTTGAAACATTGATATTTTTTCAGAACTTACCTGCCTTTGTTAAAAGATGACCAAAAAGAATATATCCGTAATTTTGCAGCAGAAAGTTTTGCATTTCTTGTGCGGAAAGTAAATAATATGTCTTATCTTTATTTTTTGTAATATATTGAGTTGTTCGGAAAGTAAGTTCGTTTTTTTCTGTGAAAAAAAACACAATATTTTTATAATAAATAAATATTTTATTGAATTATATATTGACCATTTTGGTCAAATACCTGTTGTCCTCGTTCCTGCTAGTAGCATGATTTCACATTCATAAAAGTTTTGACTGTTGCTTACAAAAAACTGATCCAAGTGATTTTTGACATTGTCATTTCAAGTAAATGTCTTACAGTTAAAAAATATTTGTATAGACCGGAAAAAGTAATTATCTGAGTGTGCTTGATCTGGCAAATATGGTTGGTGTGATAGCACATCCCATCTAAGTTATAACAGTTTCTGACAAGTTACCAAACTTGTGTGAAATTTGACATTATCGTGGTAAAACACTACACCTGTTTCGTTGATCAATTCTGGTCGCCTTTTCTGTTTTATGATATTACTCAATTTGTTTACTCGATGGCAGTACACTTTCGAATCAATTGTTAAATTGTCTGGTAAAAGCTCCAAAAACA